AAATTGACATAACTGCATATGCACAGCATAAGACCGTATGTACCAATGAGCATCGAGTATTAAGTCGCCATATTGGTGTTCGATGCTTAATATTCGATGCTCATTGGTCCATACGATCTTATGCTATGCATATGCATCTATGTAAGGGCTATCGCACACAAATTAGGCCTGTTCTTTATAGCTGCACTACTGAACTAGTGCAATAAGTTAGAGTGAGAAAACATATATTTGTCTCACTTCAATATATTGCACCAATTCAGCAGTGCAGCTACAAAGAACAGACCTATAGACATAACTGCATATGCATAGCATAAGATCGTATGGACCAATGAGCATCGAATATTAAGCATCGAACACCAATATGGCGACTTAATACTCGATGCTCATTGGTACATACGGTCTTATGCTGTGCATATGCAGTTATGTCAATTTGTGTGCGATAGCCCTAATTTTGTGTGTGATGGCCGTTAAGCTTTAAGAAATTATGTTGGCGTTGCCATTTTGTGAGCAGAAGTCACGTGCACCAATCACGCAAAACCCCGTTATGTCCAGTCCTCTGCTCAAGGATCTCTACTGTGGCTGCGTTCCGAAATGCACTGCCAGTACTGAAAATCTATAGTTTATGTTACGTATATTATAGAATTTCAGTACTGGCAGTGAATTTCGAAACGCAGCCTGTAAACAAGCTTAGCGCGCACTCAGTGTGCACTAGTGCAAGCTACCGAGGTTGCTTTCCAACAAGAGACACAAGTTGATACAAGTATCATCCTATCTTTGTTACTCACTAAATATGGAACAAAGATAGAATGATGTTTTTGTCGACTTATGTCTCTTGTTGGAAAGCAACCCAAATTCATTATCTGACAGTAGTGAACCGCTATTGTCTCGTAGTTTCAAAGTCTCCGCTACGAGCCGCTACTGTCTTCAATTAGGAATCGAGGTAACAGTGATGAATTTTTGCAAGATGTGACTCGCGTATGCGTACAGAGCAAACGCTCGGAGTCTTCATTTACGTATATACTTTCGTCAAATCTAAGGTATCGTTAGGGCTCTGCGAGAAAGGAAATGTGAAGGAATTAGCAAGAGGAAAGAAAATTGCTTTGATAGAAATAGAGTGCAAGTAATATGAATAATAATAAGTTTTAGATCGTTAACTACCTGTGGATCAAAGCAAGTTTGTTTCAATAAAGGGACCATGTGATCTACTGTCCGAAAAGCATTACATTGGAGCGTAGCAAGAACTAGATTACAAACCGTCCAGAGAGCTTTTTCATTATTATCATGTGGCACTAACCAATCTTTAAAACTATTCACTCAGTACACGTTGACACTTGTTTATAATCACATATGGGAACAGTACAAGGGCCCCTTATAGCATCTACTACTACACCCTAGATACATTTCTGAACGCAGTTGATTTCTACCTATGACATTAGCTTACGCATGCGCACGAAGCTTCCTGATACGGCAAACATCTTGCAAAAATTCATCACTGCGAGGTAGTAGTACGACTCAACGACGGATCAAACGGACCTTTAATTTTCATATCACATACATTCTTTTTTTCGATAGAAAATCTGTAAATATGTACTGTCATATAATTTTTAACAGTAATTTATTAAGTGTTAAATAGTTATGAAAAGATAGAAACGATTATTTTCGATATTTTTAGGATACAATTTATTACCAGAAATCGATATTTTTATCGATTACTTTAATTATTTTGACGTCAATTCTTTTCTTAAATATCATCCATTCCAAGTTGACAATTTTATTAGTATTTATATGGCTCTTGATAGCTGGTTTGTGATCGAAGCATTTGACGCTTTACGCAAAATACTATTTCTTTTCTAACCTCTCTGAAGTATTCGTTTTCGCGAGCGTACACTCAGGATATACTTGTATGAGTTGTATCTAAACCAAACGTCGAGATATGTCAGACATTTCAATGGTGAACAGTATTATTACTAAAAGAGACCGCGAATGTTTCGCGTGCAGAATGGTGAGTGGTTGTGGTCTAATCGGATCCGGCTTATATGTTTATCATCATTCCAAGAAATATCAGAATCATACAGGACAAGCAGTGATGTATGCAATTTCCTCTGGTACGTCTACTAGAGCAAAATTATCTTACTGAAATAGAGAAATTATTTTATAAATTTATATATATTCAATAATATCGTATTTTCAGTATTGGTACTCCTTGGCACAGCTAGGATTCTGGATATACCACCTTTTCAAGATCGGTTTAAACGCAAGGAATAAACCATCTAGATCAGTGTAAATCCACAGCATTTTGTAGCGATTGCACTTTGCAATATGAATCTAAAACGACAATTTCCATTATGTTGCTTCATTAGATGACTAGTCTACCTCATACCACACAAACGGTATCACTTACAGTTTTGCAGTTTCTTTTGAGACTTTGAAGCAACTTTAGATATTGTGATATTTCATAAAAACTTATAATGTACTTGTCATATTGAAAAGAGAAGTTTTGTATAAAAATACAATTATTTTGTCTTATAAACTATGTGTGTGCTCTTAAAATAACTATGTGTGTGCTCTTAAAATAACTATGTGTGTGCTCTTAAAATAACTATGTGTGTGCTCTGTAAATAACATAGTATACATGAATATTTGTTCTCAGGTAACAATTTTGTTGCTGGAATTTAAGTGCGTGGACTATAAGTTTCTTGTTAATATAATCTATTTATTTGCTCTAGAGAATATGCTGCTATAATGCTATATATATGCATCATAACATTTTAATTTTATATTTTTAATTTTTATTATAATCAGAGAGAGAAAAGGAAGTGTGAATCTAGAAGTAGTTTTCTTGACACACATTCGAATGCTAAATACACCTTTCTGACTAAACAGTTTTGTACGAGACGTTCATGTAAGAAAAACGAAACGTAGAATGAAAAAGAGCGTTCGAATACGCGTCAAGCATACAGTCCCAGGGATAATTGAAAACTGCTCACGTTATCAACAGCTTTATATATATAAAACAATTTCACAAAAAAATTATATAATACATTGCGTCATAGATATGCACACTTACGTAAGCACATTTATCGCAAGTATTGTCAATTGTACAACCAATTACCACATTGTGGTCCGAACATTCAGATATTTCTATCGGACGAGCGAAGACTGTCAGTAACGTCAGCGTTCTTCAATTATCTCCGGATCCACGTGGCAGTGGTCGGCTAACGCAGTGCGAGACGGCGAGAGTGCAGCACGCGCACATGTCTCGTGCCTCGCACTCGCGCCTTCGCTTCACGTGCTGCAGAGCGCAGCGCGCGCGCAAAGGTTTCGCGGCGCGGCCGAAGAATGAGCCATTTTCGTTGTATGCTTGCGCGCTCGTTAATATTCACGCGGCATTACTTCCTGTTACGTACTCGACGATACACTTATAGGACACCACCGGCTGTGTATCGATGTAAACTCGTCTACCCACCGTGTGAGAGAACCGGCCTACGCGACCGAAATATCCCGAGGCGCGAGTGCCGGAGTATTAGTCCGCCACTCATTATATTCAATAATTAATAAATCCATAAAAAACACAACGGGAAATTTTACGATCGCGCTGAACGAATAGTTCCGTTAAATGTTTAGTTCTCTAGCTTGAGAATGTCGATGCAAGAGCACAAATAGCTAAAAAACACAGCGTTTATATAAATATACTTATTAATGATTTAACTTAGATATACTTAGATATATTAGAAATTATATCCGTGATATGCTAATTTACTGTCTAAATACCTACTAGAAAAATAACGCAAATATAATATAATATACAAGATATAAAATATTTCACACATATATAAATTTATAATAATTATATTTTATAATTTTACACACACACACACACACACACACACACACATATATATATATATATATTTTTTTTTATATCTTATATTTGTATACACATATACATAATATACATACACACATCCACAATATCACAAGCAGGATCTCGAACTCGTTTCTTTGCGGGCTTCGCGCCGAGCGACGAACATACTCGTCCCGCTACCGAAACGGTGAGACCGAGTGGTGGCGAGCTTTCGTCGGTCCCAGGCGAGGTCACGCCTAAGGTCGTTCTCCGGGTTCCGGCGCCACACCCTGAGACCGACGACGTTCCTGCGGAGGTGGCACACGCGAACCGGTGAGATGTTCGGGTAACGCGGGGAGACGAGGACGAGTGTCCCGCGCGGTCTCTTGCCCATCGACAGTCCCGACACGCAGGAGATCGCTCTTGTAATACTTGGAACACGTTGCGACCCATCCGGTATACGCTCGGCGTGCCTATTACGTGTGCTGCCTGCCCTGCTCGCGATGAACCGAAGCCGAACGCCAGTGTTCCGCGATGTTCCCGGCTCACCCTTGCACGTCCCTAACAGGACAATTCGTCCTGAAACAAGGGAGGGAGGTTAAAAACACAATACTTGAGACAATTAAATTTTAAGAAACGCCGGTTGAATCGAGTGACAATTTTAGAAATATCTCAAATTAGCACAATTAGGAACATTAAACCAGCGTGTCTATATATATTATATACATATTATATACATTATACGTGTCTGAATATATTTATTGAAAAGCGAGACGAGCAATTTTAAAGAAGCAATCTTTTTATTTCAAGCAAAGTACTTCTTCTTAGAAGTTAATCAAGATCGCAGTCGCGATACTTTTCTCATTGATCAATTTACATTGTTATTTCATTGTGATTTATTTTCGTCAAGAATATTTATTTTCAGCTACCTCCGCGAAGAATTATTTCAGGCTATCGTGATTAAAAATGTACGAGTTCGCA